AGAGCTTCATCAGAGAAAGAAACGCTTCATGTGGAACTGATGCGTATTTGGAGCTTCCTGAGATGAGCGTAGATCTGCAGACGACAATGTGCTGTGTTTGATTACATTACTGAGCGAATGTGTTACGGTTTACAGCAGTCTGTCTTTAATACGTCTGAGCTTTTCTTTTTTCCCCCAATTAAAATTTTTAACAACATGTACATTTGTCTCTGTAAACTTTCTGAACTTTTTCTGTCTTGAAGCAGATTTAAGTACTGCCATATCCCAGACAGAATCCTGGATAACAGCAAATGCAATGAAGAAGCTTTCCGCACCAACTCCAGACTATTTACAGAAACGCACTGAATGTCACGTCCATTTGTGCATTACTACACCAGGAAAACACCTTCTCTCATCAAAGAATCTTTTTTTCCCACTCGTCAAAATCACTTATTTGCTCGTCAAAAATAACTTTTTTCACTCATCAAAATCACTTTTTTTTGCTCGTCAAAAAATCACTTTATTTTTCACTCGTCAACTTTTTTGCTCATCAAAATCACTTATTTGCTTGTCTAAAAGCACTTATTTCACTCGTCAAAAACCACTTTTCACTCGTCAAAATCACTTATTTGCTCGTCGAAAATTACCTTTTTTGCTAGTCAAAAATCACTTATTTGCTCGTCAAAAAGCACTCATAAAAATCACTTTTTTTCACTCGTCAAAATCACTTTTTTTCACTCGTCAAAATCACTTTTTTTTGCTCGTCAAAAATCACTATTTTTCACTCGTCAAAATAACTTTTTTTTCACTCGTCAAAATAACTTTTTTGTGATTTTTGTCACAATAAGTGATTTCACTTTTCACTCGTCAAAATCACTTATTTTTCACTCGTCAACTTTTTTGCTCATCAAAATCACTTATTTGCTCGTCAAAAATCACTTTTCACTCGTCAAAATCACTTATTTTTCACTCGTCAACTTTTTTGCTCATCAAAATCACTTATTTGCTCGTCAAAAATCACTTTTCACTCGTCAAAATCACTTATTTTTCACTCGTCAACTTTTTCACTCGTCAAAAGCACTTATTTGCTCGTCTAAAAGCACTTTTCACTCGTCAAAAAGCACTTATTTGCTCGTCAAAAGCACTTATTTGCTCGTCAAAAGCACTTATTTGCTCGTCAAAAAGCACTTATTTCACTCGTCAAAAATCACTTTTCACTCGTCAAAGTCACTTATTTGCTCGTCAAAATCACTTATTTGCTCGTCAAAAATC